GGGCTTCTTCCTGCTTTCCCTTTCGCCTCCCTGCATTGTGCCTACATATGCAAATTAACAGCCATCTTTGTTGTCAGTTAACTGCCATCTGAGTTGGCAGTTAATTTGCATATAGCCCTGATTAGCCAATGAAAAGGGTAGCGTCATACGCCAATTACCATTTTTCTCTTTTATTAGTGTTGATTCTTATATTAGTGGGTCACTCTTTAAAATTTCATCCTGTCAGTGACTTTCTCCTTTGGAAACTTTCCACTTCTTCGGTTTCCATAGTATTGGAATCATCTGATTATTCCAGCTCTTTGATCATTCCCTTATCTCTTTCCAGAGATACCTTTTCTCTAACTGCCCCTAAAGGTTGGTATCCTCACAGTTCTATCCTCAGCCCCCTCATCCTCACATCTAACATAGTACCTGTGTGATTCCAACAACTTTCATGGTGTTAGCTTTCCCATTGTGTGGAGAACCACCTCCAGTCCATAATGTAGACATTGGCTCAGTCCACCCACTTCCCAGTGAATATTTACAACTGAATATTCATACAGGCATCTTTTATTGTACCTAACATTCAATCCGGAAACACTGAAACTTATTCATATAATTAGTTTATGAGTCCTTTAGGCAGAATGAATTTTTTTTTTTTTTTTTTTACAGAGAAGAAGTCCCTGTAGGGGAGGGAGGGAGAGAAAGAGAAGAAGAGAGATTGATCAGTTGCCTCTGGCATGCGACCCAACTGGGGACTGAACTCCACAACCTAGGTATGTGCCCTGACTAGGAATTGAATCCACCACCTTTTGGTGTATGGGATGATGCTCTAAGCAACTGAGCCACGCCAGCCAGGGCAAGACAGAAGGTTTTCACTTATCTTTATATCTTCCTGGTCTCTTACCTAATAGGACCTCCCCCATCCTGGTTGACCAGTTGATGGACTCACCAACTGAGTGGATGCTTTACAGGTTTACTCCTCACCAAGCTGATTTAAAAACACATACCTTTTCTTCTCAGGTTCCTGGCCTGTCCCTTTTCGGCTACATTCAAACCTAAGATGGTGACATCCGGGCTTTCTCTCTAGACAGCTAAGTTCTCCGATTTGATCCCTCCGGAGATGAGGACCCACCTCTCTCATGGGACACTGCTTCCTCTAACAGAGAATAATAAGAGGCTTTATTTTTACTCTGCTTTCTCTGAACTCCAAGGTGATAGCTGAGGCTGGCTCAAGGTCATGGATCCCAATATTCTTGTCCCATGGTGGTGGCCTTGAGTCTCTCTCCAGGCTGCCAGGACCCCTAAGCCGCCCTTACCTTGAAGAAGAGAGATTGCCAGGATGAGGCCGGCCAGACGCTTCCCCTGCTCCATGTCGGTCTCTGTCCTTCTCCCGCAGAAGCACTGAGCAACCGCTAGCAGCCAGCCAGCCTGCGCAGTACTCGCCTGGCTCCACCCAGTACCCTTCAGGCTGGGGCCCCTGCGAGAATGCAGGAACCCAGAGCCTCCGCCCTCAGCTTCAAGTGTGGTCAGCTGGGGCTCAGCAGGCTGCAGGTGCAGCTGTCCTTGCTCTTCTGTTAAGGAGTCAAGGGTGGGAGGTGGCGTGGAGGAAGAGAGAGCTGGATTCCCTTTGCAGAGACTCTGGCTTGCACAGAGAACAAACAGCCTTGGATGCTGGGTAGTCAATGGCCTGGGCCTGTTTCTTCACAAGGGAAATAACATTGCAGACACCATTTGTTGCCGGTATCTTAGCCAGTTGTTGCTTGTTACTAGTTGTTGCCGGACTAATGAATAAAGGTGGGAACTTTAGGGTGCTCAGGGCTGGAGCTCTGACAAGAGAGCCACTTCACTCGGGGTCCTCATACAGGGATGTTTTACTGTCCTTCTGAGATGAGATCATCAAAGAGGTATCTGCTTGGAAGGAAACAGGACAATTCCAACAAGACAGCCAAGCATTGCCAAGGACAGGGACTGAGCTGAGTTTCCGAGATCTCAGGCCCTATCTCTCCCAGCCAGTCAGTCAGCGAGTCAATAAAAATGGATGGAATTCTTGTCATGTGCCAGGCACAAGCCAGGTGTTGGAAACACAGAAACAAGTGAGATATACATGAGCTCTGCCCTCAGGTAAATTATAGTTTAACTACGACAGTGTGGTTTCAAAACTCCACAGGCCACGGGGCGAGGGTGGGAGTGGGAAGGGGAGTCCATTTGTCTCTTGGGAAGGCTCAACTCTGCCTACAAGTCAATCATATTGTTATTAATAACTATTTCTCACTGAACACATATGATGTGTCTAGTATCATGCAAACATCATGTTCAAATCCTTATCACAAATGAAGAATACATCAGAGCGCATCAACAGCAGATTAGAGGAAATAGTTGATTGAGTCAATGATTTGCAAGACAAGGTGGCAGAGCCCGGCTGATATGTCTTAGTTGGTTGAGCATCATCCCATATATCAAGAAGTCCTTGGTTTGATTCAGGGCACATGTCCAAGTTGATGGTTCGATCCCTAGTAGGGAGGGTTCAGGAGGAAGCCAGTTCATGTTTCTCTCCCATCAATGCTTCTGTCTCTTTCCTGCTCCCTTCCTCTCTCTAAAAAAAAATAAAAATAAAAATAAATAAAAACTTATTAAAATAAAAAAGGCAGTGGAAAACACCCAATCAGAACAGTAAAAAGAAGAAAAAAAAAGGAAATAGTTTAAAGGACCTCTGGGACAACATAAAGTGTAACAGCATTCACATCATAGGGGTGAATAGAGTGTTGGCCTGAGGTCTGAAGGGTCCCCGGTTTGATTTCAGTCAAGAGCACATGCCCAAGTTGTGGGATTGATCCCCAGTAGGGTGCATGCAGGAGGGCAGCTGATCAATGATTCTCTCTCATCATTGATGTTTTTATCTTTCTCTCTCCCTTCCTCTCTGAAATCAATAAAAATATTTTAAAAAGTGGGAAGATTATGTGTAATTACAACAGTAAATTAAAGGATACACACAAACACACAAAAAAACATGATAACAACATAAATATGAAGGGGTGAGTAAAAATGATAGTGATTTTAGAAAGTGTTTGAACTTAAGTGACCATCCAATTAACATGGAAGGTGTAAACATGGCTTGGTATATACGAAACCCATGGAAACCATAAACTGAAAAATCTACAAGAGATACAGAGGAAACAAGATACAACACTACAGAAAGTCAACAACATGCAAGAGGCCTGGGGTGGGGGGCGGGGTAGGCTAGAAGAGGTCAATGGGGGAAAATGGGGACATACGTAATACTTTCAACAATAAAGATGAAAAAGATACAAAAGAAGGGAGCAAGAGAATAAGAGAGGAACAGAAACTATAAAAACAGTCAGAAAACAATGGATAAGATGGCAATAACTGCTTACCATGAAAAAGAATGAAATCTTACTATTTACAACAACATGGATGGACCGCGAGGGTATTGTCCTGGATGCAGTGAGTCAGACCGAGAGGGACAAGTGCCACATGGTCTCACTTATATGTGGCATCTCAAAAGCAGAATACACAGCCCTGACCAGCGAGCCGCAGTTGGTTGGAGCGTTGTCCTTGCACCGGAAGGCTTTGGGTTCGATTCCTGGTCAGAACGCATACCTAGGCTATGGGTTTGATACCCGGTCAGGGTGCATATGGAAGGCCACTGATGATATATCTCTCTCATATCAATGTTTCTCTCTCTCTCTCTCTCTCACTCTTTCTCTTCCTCCCTCTCTAAAAGCAATAAAAAAGTAGAATAAACAAACAAAACAAACTCATAGATACAGAAACAAACTGATGATTGTCAGATGGGAGGGGTGGGAGGCTGGTGAGATAGGTACAGAAATAAAGAAATACAAACTGAGCCCAGCCCACATGGCTCAGTGGTTGAGTGTTGATCTATGAACCAGGAGGTCATGGTTCAATTCCTGGTCCGGGCACATGCCCGGGTTGAGGGTTTGATCCCCAGTGTGGGGTGTGCAGAAGGCAGCCGATCAATGATTCTCTCTCATCATCTATCTTTCTCTCCTTCTCCCTTCCGCTCTGAAATCAATTAAAAAAATATATATAAAAGTACAAGTTGGTAGTTACAAGATAGTCACAGGGGTGTAAAGGACAGCATAGGGAATATAATCAATAATATTGCAATAACTATGTGCTAACTGTGCCAGGTGGGTGCAAGATGCACCAGGGGAGGGGTCACTTGGTAAGTTATATACACATGTAGCCACTCTCTGTGCACCTGAAGCTGGTACAGCATTGAATGCCAATTGTAATTAAAAATAGAGGAGAAGTAGAGAGCCAAGCCAAGCCTTATGGTGATACCGAGGGCACTGGACTCTGAAAATTCCACCACTGGCCCAGGCCCAGCAGGGAGGCAGTATTGGAGCTGGGATTCGAATCTCTGGGGCAGGCGGGGCGGGTGCTCCAAAGCCCAGCCTCCTGCAGGTAAGCGTGTGGTTTGCTGTCCCAGGCTGCTCGAAGAAGACTGGGCAGGGTCCCACGAAAGACCAGGCAAGTTCTCGTTTTTCATCAATGACCCATGAAAGGACCATCCTCAACCTCCTTCTACTTCCCAGAAATCAGGCAACCTTCCGCATGTTCTCTGCTGCCTCTTTCACTCCACCCCTACGCTTCCTGTGCAGAGAGCAACTTGCACCTGCTTCCTTCCCCCCCACCTCCCATCCCACCTCCCTCCCCACCGGAAGCCGGCGCACCCGCACCCACACCCGCACCCACCATCTCCCATCCTCCAGGCAGAGAGCAAACAAAGCGTCTTCTGGTGCCTCCCCCCGCGCCCCTCTTTCCGGCCTGCGAGTCAGCGGGGAGGGCGGCTCTCCCAGCGGGCGCCCTGGGCCGGTCTAGCTCCTGCCGAATTCTGTTCAGAGATGGCGCGCAGCAGGTTTCTGGCTGGCCTGGCGCTGGCCGCCCTTCTCTCCCACGGTAAGGCTTGTCCAGGGACGGGGCGGCACCTGCGGGAAGAGACCGAGGGGGACATCACACCTGGAGCGAGGGGTGACAGATCTTCCCAGGGCTGGCTCTCAGGCATGCAGGGCTGCCCAGGAGGGCGCGCTGGATGGGGCGCCGGGTCTGCGAAATGAGCTCTTGGCTTTGACCCGCTCCAGCGAAGGGTTCATCTCGGCCTTGAGTGTCTCCCCGAAGGCCCCAGGCCGAGGTCTGTAGGGAATGTTGGTGTGTGTGCCCGAGACGGGCCGACAATGGCAGCACTGCTCCTCTAGGATCCAGGCCTCTTGTCAGGAGGCCACGGTTAGGCCACCTCCCGGGGCCGTGGCCCAGCACCCAGGGGAATGCTTGAAGAGAAGAACTAGCTTTAGGAGGAGCAGAAGGGAGGGCAGGTTTGGGGAAAGAGCGACCAACCCATCTTGTTGGCCTGGTTCCTGTCCCAGGGCCCCCTCAGTCCCAGGTGACCTGGGATTAGCTGCTGAGGAACACCCAGCACTTTCAGCGGAAACAGCCCCAAGCAGGACATGCGTGTCGGCTATGAAGTCTGAGGCACCTTCTCCCTGAGTGCGCACACATGGGTTCTTGACCTGCTGTGTAGGCACTGGGTTTTCTAGACAGTGCTCTTGTATCCAAACTGGTAGCTGAGCGTGCAGCTCAGGGAGAACGTAGCTCCCACGCTCCCTGGGATTGGGGGCACTGAAGCCGGTGCCTCTGTGGACTGGAGATGCTCTCGTCAAAGCAACGCAGTGTTTCTAGAAGGTGCTGTGCGTGCCTCCAGCCCTAACTCCCCACAGGACTTGCCTTGTGTGGAGCCCCAAGAGGAGATTTGATACATCTTCCTTTCCGTCCTTCTCCTCTTCAGCGAAGGTGGAACAACTAAAACTCTACGTGGGATTTGCTCTGGGTTCCCTGCTCGACCCCTGGGGCTGGTCTCAACCCCACCATCTCGCTTACTGTTGTTGGGGTGAGGAAAGGGAGGGAGAGGGGGAGAAGCTGAAGTGGGAGCGTTGTAAGTTGGCTGGGGAGTAGAATTGGAAGTTTCCCTGGAGGGAAAATGCAGGCATCTCCAAGCAAGGAGCCTCTGCTTTTTCCTGCCTCCTGAGTGCTCTCCCGGGCTCTGCTACCCTCCTGCTGTCCTTTATTCTACTTTTGAATTTATCGCTATTGTTGAAAGTATTGCGGATGTTGCCTCCCTCTCCAGGCCTTCACCAGCCTATTGTCTGTGTCCCTAGGTTCTGCATATGAGTTCTTCAGTAACTGTCTCCCCCACGCCCCTCCCCTCTGAGATTCATCCCGTCCGCTCCCCTCCTACTTGGAATCAGTGGTCTGGATTCATTTCCAGGACGGTCCTCAGATGAACCCGTTTCTAGGGTTCCTCCTTTACTCTTTGTTCTTCAGGGCCTATCCCCGGCGTGGGCCGCACCTTTGTGTCCTTCCTGGCCCCTGAGGCTCATGGGCAGCCTCCTGAAGCCTTTCTCTCGTGACCTCTCTCTTGCAAGAAACCATAAATTAGACTTGAATAGCGGTCTTTCTTAAGAGTGAGCCTCAGCAGAACACGGGGTCTGGGGCAGATCAAAGAGGTGGCTCCAATCACAGTATTTTTTCCCCTTAGTGAGCCCCTTCATGAAATTCGTGGAGGAATTTGAGGACAAAGTGGTTTTGAATTGCACCGGCATCACCTGGCTAGAGGGAACGATGGGGATCAAGTTACAGGACAATCAAAGTCTGGACTTGGGAAGACGCGTCCTGGACCCGCGGGGAGTGTACCAGTGCAATGAGACGCAGACACAAGGCACCACATACACCCTGCAAGTGTATTATCGAAGTGCGTGCCTTGGGTTGGCATGGATGGGGCCTCTGGATGTGAGAACTTTCTAGCTGGGGGGCGGGGGCCGTGGTGAACCAATCTGTTTTCTAAACAAACGGGGCTCCTCTTATGATGGCAGGAGCCAGATTCTCAGGCCCTCAGAGCTGGAGAGAACTTATCTGAGGAAAAAGAGCAGCGGGAGCCGTGCGACCCCAGCAGGAGGGCTTTGTTGGGAGAGCGGCTTGGCCTTTGCGGGGTGGGGGGGATATAGCAAGGCCATCCGCGGCCTTTCTCCGAGGGTCTTAAGTTCAGGTCTTGACTGGAGAGAGCCTGGGGCTGCCCCAGGAGGCAGAGGTGGCTTCCTGGTCTTGAAAGGCCTCCCATCTCTTCTCTCCTCCCCGCCCCGCCCCCCACCCAGTGTGCCAGAACTGCGTGGAGCTGGACCCTACCACCCTGGCCGGCATCATCATCACCGATGTCATCGCCACCCTGCTCCTTGCTTTGGGAGTCTACTGCTTTGCTGGACACGAGACTGGAAGGCTGCCCAGGGGTAAGTGGGTGGGAGAGAGAGAGAGAGAGAGTGTGTGTGTGTGTGTTGTGGGGGTGCCCCTGCCTAGCAGTGGGTCTGGAGTGGGTTGTGACTCACTCTCCTAAGGATGTTTACAGCTGCTATCGAAGGACTTGGGTGCCCATGTTGCTCACGCAGCCTTCCGAGCTGTGACTGCCTGCAGCTCCCCTGCAGAGCCCATAGGGTCTCACAGCTCACCCGCCCAGGCCTTTCTAACTCGCTTTCCTGGCTCTTCTAGCTGCTGACACTCAAGCTCTACTGAGGAACGACCAGCTCTACCAGGTGAGCCCTGGGGGGGAGATGGGGTGGGAGGAGGGGAGAGTGGCAATGCAGAAGCTGACACTAGGGGTGACGTGTGTGTATGAAGGGTCCCAGTGGGAGTTTACTGGGGCTGGGACCTGGAAAGGCCAGGCACCAGCTCTCAGCGGCCGGCTGGGGCTCCCTGGGGAGCCCTGCCCCTGCCCCTTCTCCTCTCTTAGCCCCTCAGAGACCGGAACGATGCTCAGTACAGTCACCTTGGTGAGAACTGGCCTCGGAGCAGGTGAACCTGAGACTGATGGAGCACCAGCTGCCGACGGTCCCTTCTCTTCCTGCTCAGCCAATAAAGATGTCTTCTTGCACGCGGCAGCTCCTGCGCTTTTCAAAGGTCCCGGGCCAGGCCTCGGAGCTGTGCTGACTTGGCAGGGTGCTTGCCCTCCCTGTCCACGTGTGTTTTCTCTTCATCGCTCTCCTTCCTTTGGCCCCCATGGACCCGGCGATGGGCACTCTCTCATTACAGCTTGGCTCAGGGTGCTTCTGACCTGGTGGGCTCCTGGGGACAGGGTTTGCCCACCACGCCCCCCGCAGGCGGCCCCGTAGCACTTCCTGAGCTTTGGCTCCCTCGCCACAGCTGAGGCGGCTGCTAGTTCAGGGACCCAGCCACACACAAGTTTCCATGACGTCATGAGCGCAGGTGGCAGAGACATCAAGGGCCCTGGGACTCACTTCTTGTCAAAGGACATGCATGTGGGAACGTCCCTCTTCTGCTGAGGGACTGGCCTTGGTGTTATGAGCTTTGTGAAGGCACTAGGGGTGAGGAGGTCTCAGCCCAGGCCCCTCAGTACCATGTACCTTCCTCCCCCAGAGCCTGCCCTGCGCCTACCTGCATGCACGATAAACTGGCAGCAGAAGCCCTTCATCAATTAAAACACACCATCCCTCTCCACTCAGTTGCAAAACTGGAGCTTGAGACTGGGTGGGGGTTTAGGATGCTTTCTTTTTTTGTTGTGGTTGTTAATCCTCACCTAAGGATACTTTCCCATTGATATTCAGAGAGAGTGAAAGAGAGGGGGAGAGACACACACAGAGAGAAACATCAATTGAGAGAGACACATTGATTGGTTGCCTCCTGCACACGTACTGACCAGGGCCAGGGATCGAGACTACAGCCTAGGTACATGCCCTTGACTGGAATTGAACCCAGGACCCTTCATTCTGCAGGCCAATGTGCCATCAACTGAGCCAAACCTTGAGGAACTGTATTAAAGGGTTGCGGCATTAGGAAGGTTGAGAATCACTGCACTAGATATTCTACATAGATGACCATGTTGCTTGTGAATAAAGACAGTTTAACGTTTCCATGTCCACTGTGGATGTTTTATTTCAGCTCCTTGCACTGGCTACAGCCATGTACAATGCTGCATGGAAGTGGAGGGAGGACATTCTTGCTTTATTTGTGATGTTAGAGGGAAAGCGTTGTCTTCATCATTAAGTATGAGGTTGGCTGTAGGTTTTTCTTAGATGCCCTTTGACAAGTTGAGAACATTCCCTTCTCTTTCTAGTTTGTTGGGCATTTTTAGTGAAAATAGTTGTATTGTCAAGTGCTTCTTCAGCATCCATTGAGATGTTTATATGGTTTTACTTTACTGAAAAAGTAAAACCATATAAATTATAAATTACATCGGTGGCATTGTTATGGGCTAGCTCATTGTTATGGTCTATGAGATAGACCACCAACTCAGAATTAAAATTTTAAGAGCCTTTATTAAGCTGGCCAGCTGACTGTAGCCGTGCCCCTCCCGTAGGAGCATCACAGCTTGCAGTGCTGACCAAGAGTACAGCAAGACCTTTTATCTGCAACACTACAAAGCACTTTTTTAAAAAAAGAAAAAACAAACTGTAAAGCGGTTCATTAGCCGTTCCTGGTACTGGCAGGGTAGAAAGTTTACATAAAATTTATGAGCAGGGTCACACCCGGCTGGGTTCAATCATAACACATTGCTTTTCTAGCGAGATAATTAGCAATTTTTCTCTCCCATGGTCCCTGCCCCTCAGCCTACTCAGTAATTCTTCTTTGTCAGGCCCCTGGCCCTAGCACATTCCCTACTGGTCTTATGCCCGAATCAAATCTTTGATTCAGCGTCCTCCTCTAAGATTCTGGAGTTACATTTTATTCACCGTGGCGGGCCCAGGGAAATGAATTTAAATTCTAAGCAAAGCCACAAGCAGAACCTCCCTTTCTGTGGAAGAGCCAGCCCTTTGTGCGCTTGCTGGCGGCGGTCTTGAAAACTACACAGTTCTATCCAATCAAAAATGCCCCTGGCATGGCACTTGGTGTATCTAGTCTCTGACCTATAAGGCCAGACAGCCAAGTCTATCTCCCCCATTATTCAAGCAGGCTAAAATGGCCTAGGAAGCAAACTTATCTTCTAGAATAAGAGGCCGTCCAAAGAACAGCAGCTCCAAACAGTAGTCCTACAGAATAGGGGTTTTCCTTCACCTCCCCCCGCCTTGTTCCACAAGCTTTTCAGCCTTGTGGTACAACAGCCATGGGGTGTTACGGTGAACAGGGGTGTTGATTGATCTGTTACTACTTCCTGCTGGAAAGGGACGACATCAGCCTCTGGTCCCACTAACCCAATGAGGTTTCAGCCAGTCTCTGAGTCAGACTCCTCCTCTCTTGGAGAATTTCGAAGTCCTGATGGCTCCCAGGTCCAGGGAGAGTGCTCTTTTCTTTGCCTGCTATCCTTGTCTTCCCATCAGTCCCCTTTGTGGCAGAGCAGCAACCAGGCCTCTTCCAAGGGAGTGCACTGGAAGGGGATATCAGCTCCTCCTCTTCCAGCAGCAACAGGTACTGAACCCTTTCAGTACATTTGCAAGCAGGGAGCTTTCGTTAGCTCTATCTGCAGCTTTTATAGATCCCGGGCAGTCACTAGCTTCTGTTTTAACTGCTGTAGCCAGCAAGCCAAAGGCCTAAGTTTTGTATTGCTTGTTGTAAAACACTCATTACTCATTGGGCAGCTCTAGTGTCAGGTAAATTTCTGCTTTCCCCACTTCTCTTGCTGCTGCTTCTTCTTTCAGGGCCACAGCGGGCAGCTCAGGCATCCAGCCCCGCTTCTTTGACCTGGCTCTCAGGGGCTGAGTCTGCCTAGCAAACAGTTCTAAATCACCAGGGCGGCTGAAGATTTCAGCTCTTTTTCTCCTCCGCTTTTCTCCTGGGAGTTTAGTTGTTTTTTTTTTAATGTATTAAAATTCTTTATTCTTAGAAACCTTAATTCTTTAATGATTATCAAAAGTGAACAATTAGCATTGGTCCTTACAGAAAACTTGTGACCTTGAAGTTAGTTGATAAGGCACCTGTTAGGTCTGCAGCCAGTAACGTAACTGCCAACACCCGCAACCCCCTTCTCTCAGCCCAGGCCCATTGCTTTCCCTCACAGATTTTTTCTCTTTTACTCTTGATTTCTCCGACCAATTCCCCGTCCCCCAGTTCAGTTGTTTGTCTCCCTTTAAACTGTGGGAGTTTCGAAGAAAACTACAGACTGCTCCTATAGTAGCCCTCCCTCCTGGAGGCTGGGGTCCGACCTGTGGGGAAATATGACTCTTAGTCGGCCTGGAAAGATAATGGGTGCATAGGGAGATTTCTTGCAGACAGAAAGCCTGGAGGCCACCTGAAATCCAGTTACAGATGCTTTCAGAATCAGGATGAGGGAGGAAGGGAAAGACCATGTCCTCTACGAGGATTCTAATAAATAACTGAAAACAGCAAGTCAAACAAAACACATCACAGGCCAGTAAATCTCTCCTCCCTGCGGAACTGTAAGCCCTTTGTATCCACCAAAGAGATAAGAAAACCATAAATAACAAGTTCTTTGAAATTTACTACTTTGTTAATTTGCTAAGCAAATAGTTAACTTGAAAAGACTTCTCTCTTGCTTTTTTTTTTTTTTATAAGCAATCTCAGCACCAAGCAATCTTGGAACCTAGTCAGCCTTTATTTTAGCCTTTAAATCTACCCTAGAACTTCAAAATTTCAATTTTACAACCCAGGTAAGAGCAAATTTACAACCCAGGTAAGAGCAACTGGTAGACAGCTCTTTGTTTTTTTTTTTTTTTATAAGCAATCTCAGCACCAAGCAATCTTGGAACCTAGTCAGCCTTTATTTTAGCCTTTAAATCTACCCTAGAACTTCAAAATTTCAATTTTACAACCCAGGTAAGAGCAAATTTACAACCCAGGTAAGAGCAACTGGTAGACAGAAATTTATATTAACTAAGTGGGCTGATTCCCCTTTAATAGTGAGCAAAAGACTCTGAGAAAAAAATAATTCTCGCAGCTGCTAAGAGACTTTTGCAGACCATCCCGGGTCCAGCCCAAATGTTCAGCCAAGCATATCAACAGAAAAGTAGAATAAATCAAAGTAGCTTTCACTTCACACAGACCAGTAATGAGCAGCTAAGGCAAACACCTGTATTTACACTTTCTTAGTAGACTAGCCCAGGCTGGAGCTGTATCCAGTCCCCTTTCTCTGTAGTAATTTGGCTAGTCCTACACAAACAAACTTTGTCCCGACCCCATGATGATCGGTGGCGAGAGACAAACAAGGGAGGGGGTGACCTATTTTCACAGATCCTCACTCAGATGCCCACCTGGCTGAGTTCCTTGGGATATTAGATTCGTCTTAGCTAAGGTGCACCCGTATAAACCCCGGGCCTGGTCACCTCCACGTGGGGGTGAGTCACCATTATGCCATATGACGAATTGCGGAACCTCAGGTTGGGGCCCACTCAGACTCCGTAACTGAAGTCGTGGAGCCACACAAAGGAGAGGAGAGGGCAGGCCCCCTCCCTCCACACTCACACACTTTCACCAGACATTCACTCAGAGTTTAAACAATCCACCCAATTCCTAACAATTTCCCAATACCTGAGGGAGCGCTATAGCTTCCCAGGAGGTGATCAAGCTCCCCTTCCACTCACTTGGAGTGGGCCTGACTGATCGGGGGTCGATGAAGATGACTGACCCTATCCCATTTGACAAAGACAAAGACAAAACAAATCAGCCAAATGCAACCTAAGGTTGCCCAGAACCTGCAGCTTGCTCCTTGAAGTCCTGAAAATTTTTCAAAAACATTGCAGCAGGGTGCACACAGAAGCAGACGACTTTTTGACAACAAACACCAAGACAACAAACACCAGACAGACAAGCCCGGTGCAGCCTACAGCCGCACGAACCAGGGACCCCGGCCACGGTCGTGGCCGCGGGTCAGGACCAGGAGTCCCGCTGCGTCCAGCCCTCCATATAGGTCCTTCCATGGGACGTCCCAATTCCTGTTTAACGACCGGTCCTTACCTCTCTCCAGAGTTCAGGTGGCTCGATTTCCAAATTGAAAGTTTTTGGGTGGAATCTCCTCTGCCTCCCTGGGACCTGGGATGGAGACTGGAGGCCTCCTTGGTAGTTGTTCCCCACAGGGATGTGGGGTATCTCGCTGAGTGCCCGGCAATAAATGGGGGAGAGCCTCCTGCCCTAAATAAGGGGTTCTCGCTGCGGGCCTCCAAATGTTATGGGTTAGCTCAGCGAGATAGACCACTGACTCAGAATTTAAATTTTAAGAGCCTTTATTAAGCTGGCCAGCTGACTTCAGCCGCATCCCTCCCGTAGGAGCATCACAGCTTGCAGTGCTGACCAAGAGTACAGCAAGACCTTTTATCTGCAACACTACAAAGTATTTTTTAAAAAAAAGAAAAAACAAACTGCAAAGTGGTTCATTAGCCGTTCCTGGTACTGGCAGGGTAAAAAGTTTACGTAAAATTTATGAGCAGGGTCACACCTGGCTGGGTTTAATCATAACACATTGCTTTTCTAGCGAGATAATTAGCAATTTTTCTCTCCCATGGTCCCTGCCCCTCAGCCTACTCAGTAATTCTTCTTTGTCAGGCCCCTGCCCCTAGCACAGCATGATCTGTTAAACCAACCCTGCATTCCTGAAATAAACTGTACTTGATCATTGTGGTATTTCTTTTAATATATTATTAGATTAAATTCACCATGGTGTTT